ATGTATGCAATGTGCAATACATCTTGGCTTATGTATATGCAATGTGCAATACAGCTTGTCCTATGTATGCAATGTGCAATACATCTTGTCTTATGTATGCAATGTGCAATACATCTTGGCCTATGTATATGCAATGTGCAATACAGCTTGGCCTATGTATATGCAATGTGCAATACAGCTTGGCCTATGTATGCAATGTGCAATACAGCTTGTCTTATGTATATGCAATGTGCAATACAGCTTGGCCTATGTATGCAATGTGCAATACAGCTTGGCCTATGTATATGCAATGTGCAATACAGTTTGGCCTATGTATGCAATGTGCAATACAGCTTGGCCTATGTATGCAATGTGCAATACATCTTGGCCTATGTATATGCAATGTGCAATACAGCTTGGCCTATGTATGCAATGTGCAATACATCTTGTCTTATGTATATGCAATGTGCAATACAGTTTGGCCTATGTATGCAATGTGCAATACAGCTTGGCCTATGTATATGCAATGTGCAATACAGCTTGGCCTATGTATGCAATGTGCAATACATCTTGTCTTATGTATATGCAATGTGCAATACAGTTTGGCCTATGTATGCAATGTGCAATACAGCTTGGCCTATGTATGCAATGTGCAATACATCTTGGCCTATGTATGCAATGTGCAATACAGCTTGGCCTATGTATGCAATGTGCAATACATCTTGGCCTATGTATATGCAATGTGCAATACAGCTTGGCCTATGTATGCAATGTGCAATACATCTTGTCTTATGTATATGCAATGTGCAATACAGCTTGGCCTATGTATGCAATGTGCAATACATCTTGGCCTATGTATATGCAATGTGCAATACATCTTGGCTTATGTATATGCAATGTGCAATACAGCTTGTCCTATGTATGCAATGTGCAATACATCTTGGCCTATGTATATGCAATGTGCAATACAGCTTGGCCTATGTATGCAATGTGCACTACAGCTTGTCTTATGTATATGCAATGTGCAATACAGCTTGGCCTATGTATGCAATGTGCAATACAGCTTGGCCTATGTATGCAATGTGCAATACATCTTGGCCTATGTATGCAATGTGCAATACAGCTTGGCTTATGTATGCAATGTGCAATACAGCTTGGCCTATGTATGCAATGTGCAATACATCTTGGCTTATGTATGCAATGTGCAATACAGCCTGGCCTATGTATGCAATGTGCAATACAGCTTGGCCTATGTATATGCAATTTGCAATACAGCTTGGCCTATGTATGCAATGTGCAATACATCTTGGCTTATGTATGCAATGTGCAAACAATTATCGGCGCATAGCATGCAGTGTGCAATAGTTGTGAATGATAAATAATTCTCCAAATATTTCACAGTTTGGGCAACCAGCTTGCTCATTTCACGCAACAGGTGTGTAATTGTTCTGTCCAAAGCACGCACTTGAAACTGGTATTGTTTTTGTTATAAATACAGTAAACTCTATTTTTAAGTGAATAAACTGTAATAAATAACAACCAGACAAATATGTGATCTTTAGAAACTTTATTTTCTGACTAAATGAGATTATGACCATATAGTATTTTGAACAGCGGAACACAATTAGGTGACATGCAGTCGGCCAGGCGGCCAAGTCTGACCATTTCCACGTGTAACCATCAAAGGTTGGTTACACGGTCACAGATAGCTCGTAGTCCCTAAAGGAACAGGACCACAAGTCATAATGATTGTACCAGCATTTGTAACAGTGTTAAACACAACTGGATGACATCTCTCACGACCATCACAGACTGCTTGGGACAGATCACACAGGTAAATCGTAGATTGTAAAGGAACAGGTCTACAAGTCATAATGATTGTACCCGTATTTGTAACAGCGTGAAACACAACTGGATGTCGCTTCATAAAACCATCATAAGCTACAACTACACCATCATCACAATTATCATATAACCTAGCAGTTTTAGATGCAGCTGTAGTTTAAAAGGTCCAAATAACATTTACATCCTCAATACATGTCCATATGTGCTTTTATTTGTGTATTACTGGATATATACAAGGACATAAACTGGACTGAACAAGACATCCTGTATCAGTGTTATCCGGTGGATGTGTGAAGTTAATGTACCCACATCGGTTACGTTTCCCAACCTGAATGAATGAATGCATCCACCATATCAACATTGATCTTTGTGTTCATCAAACCATTACTAATTACAGTTACCTCCCTTCCATCAATTTACATTCGCAAAACATCGGTAATTTCCGTACATCATACGTGGCCCAATTGTTCGAGATAAAGACTTACTAACACAAAGTTTGAAATGAAATGTTATTCGCTTGTAAGCAGGTTCATTGAACATATTAGGAGAGAGCTCAGCCAATCAGATAACGACATTTATGTGTGAGATAAGATAATGATCTGTGTAGTCCCGCTCATCAAACCACAATACAAGAGATGGATGGGTGTATGCTGGCTGGGCCGTACGAGTGAGTGAGTGAGTTAAAATGTAACGACACATCTGCATTTCAGCAATATCAGACAAAAATATATGAAAATACAAATATTAAAAACAAAATTAAAATCATGTCGAGGAATAGTAGAATAACTAGATTATCACATATTATATAAAACTAGTTCAAGGGCCAGTAACACACAAAGGACAACGGAAATGGGCCATGTGTCTTCAAAACTGATCAAACTGCTTGTACGTCATCCTCGATAATCACTAGGGTATACGTTACAATCACTCGCCACTATACCCTGGATTCATCCACGGCTTGGGGCGATGATTTTATTACCTCCCTTGGCTGACTCCGCATTCTCACAGTAGCCAATCAGCTAAGCCGCCGTTACAACCGAGCTTGCCAGTGTCAACAAAGATAGCGGTCGTAGTCGCGATGGTTTGTCCGCAGTGCCACTCAGATTTTGGGGGGAAATAATAAAGACAAATTCACAGATCTGAAACTTTCAAGAAATATATGAAAGAACTCCTTCTACTTCTTTAAGAGTACCTTTGCATCAATTGTGTTGCCAAGTTTAAACGGTTAGATAATTAAAGAAGCGAAAGTGAGTTGTGATTGGTACGCTCAACTTCCCAGCGTAAACACCTGATTGGTTAAAAAGCCAGCCAAGAGAGGTAATAAAATCATCGCCCCCAAGCCGTGGATGCATCCAGGGTATAGTGGAGATTATCGAGGATGCTTGTACGTTTGACGAACGTGAAGATCCGGGTTAGAACAGATCTTCAGTAGAACTGACCCAAGTTCGTAAGAGGAGACTTAACGGGATCGAGTGGTCAGGCTTTGACTTGGGTGAGGTGTGTCATCGTATCCCACTTGTGTAGATCGATGCTCATATATCAATCACTGGATTGTCTGGTGCAAGACTCGAGTATTTACACACAACCGTCACATAGCAGGAATACTGATATACAATCAATCAACATTATTGACTATCTATCCTACATAGTAGAGACAAATTCTCTCTTTAAGAAGTACACCTACAACTTGAAGTACACCTTCACCCACTTCAAGGAATATGGTAGACAGAGGAACTATCCTACACTATCTAGGTCATCTTCTATCTGGTAGAAGTACACCCTTCATACCTTGTTCTGGCATAAATATATATCGAAACTATCCTAACCTACTGTGATCACTTCTAGTAGAAGTACATCCTTTATACCTTTTTCTGACATAAATATATATCGAAACTTTCCTCAACTACCGTGACCACTTCTGGTAGAAGTACACCCTTGATACATTATTATAACATAAATATCTATCGAAACTATTCTAAACTACCGTGGTCACTTCTGGTAGAAGTACACTCTTCATACCTTGTCATGACTTACCAAGAAACTATCCTAAACTACCGCGCTCACTTCTGGTAGAAGTACACCCTTCATACCTTGTCATGACTTAACAAGAAACTATCCTAAACTACCGCGCTCACTTCTGTTAGAAGTACACCCTTCATACTTTGTCATGACTTAACAAGAAACTATCCTAAACTACCGCGCTCACTTCTGGTAGAAGTACACCCTTCATACCTTATCATGACTTATCAAGAAACTATCCTAAACTACCGCGCTCACTTCTGGTAGGAGTACATTCTTCATACCTTGTCATGACTTAACAAGAAACTATCCTATACTACAGCGGTCACTTCTGGTAGAAGTACACTCTTCATACTTTGTCATGACTTAACAAGAAACTATCCTATACTACAGCGGTCACTTCTGGTAGAAGTACACTCTTCATACCTTGTCATGACTTAACAAGAAACTATCCTATACTACAGCGGTCACTTCTGGTAGAAGTACACTCTTCATACCTTGTCATGACTTATCAAGAAACTATCCTAAACTACCGTGGTCACTTCTGAAGTAGATCAATACCTTGTCATGACTTCAAGAAACTCCTATACCTTGGTCACTTCTGGTAGAAGTACATTCTTCATACCTTGTCATGACTTACCAAGAAACTATCCTAAACTACCGCGCTCACTTCTGGTAGAAGTACACCCTTCATACCTTATCATGACTTATCAAGAAACTATCCTAAACTACCGCGCTCACTTCTGGTAGGAGTACATTCTTCATACCTTGTCATGACTTAACAAGAAACTATCCTATACTACAGCGGTCACTTCTGGTAGAAGTACACTCTTCATACTTTGTCATGACTTAACAAGAAACTATCCTATACTACAGCGGTCACTTCTGGTAGAAGTACACTCTTCATACCTTGTCATGACTTAACAAGAAACTATCCTATACTACAGCGGTCACTTCTGGTAGAAGTACACTCTTCATACTTTGTCATGACTTAACAAGAAACTATCCTATACTACAGCGCTCACTTCTGGTAGAAGTACACTCTTCATACCTCTTATCATATCCTAAACTGTCATGACATTCTTCATACAACTTAACAAGAAACTATCCTAAACTACCGTGGTCACTTCTGGTAGAAGTACATTCTTCATACCTTGTCATGACTTACCAAGAAACTATCCTAAACTACCGCGCTCACTTCTGGTAGAAGTACATTCTTTATACCTTATCATGACTTACCTAGAAACTATCCTACACGACTTGAGCCACCTCTTATTGGAGACGTAAACCCTCCATAATATCTCACTAGCCTGTCCTACGCGGCTCGGGTCATATATTTTCCTGAAGAAATACACCCTCCAGATCTTGTCCTGCTGCACCAACACATCTAACCTACACGGATCGGGGTCATATTATGTCTGGACAAAGTACAACAAACACTGTCCTGTTGTACCAACACAACTATTAAATATGAGTAGGGTCATCCACGGTCTGGTAGAAGTTCATCCTCCACACCATGTTCCCTGGGATGCTGTCCATGTCAAACCAGGACAACCAGCTGGTGAAGCGAACCCATGTCCCATAGAAATAGGGGGAGTCCTGGTCCAGCTGGGCATCTTCAATAAACAGACTGACCATGTTGATAGCCCAGTCCTCTGTCAGGGTGTCCGGGTGTACAACACTGTACGACTCGTGATACAACACCGTCTGGAGATCCATCCCTTTGAGCGGGTATGAGAAAGCTGAAGATACGGGTACCTCTGCCATTACATTGTAAAAGAAGTGTTTAACCTTTTGAGTTTTGCCAACGATCGGATTATCGAAGTAGTGCAGAACTTTTCCCGTGATTGGATCATGATATAGGCCATTGATCTCAACTTCAACCTTGTAAGAATCAACACCAAGGCCTAAAAACTTTATCAGAACATGTCCATCAAAGTTAAACAAATTTACAGATCCGTTTCCTGTAATCTCAGAGTACACGCTGCCATTGAAATATACTCTGAAGTGTCCTCGTTTCAGAGCAGCGTCCACAATCTTGGGGTCAAGTGAGTTTCGTTTTGATTTAAGATTTGACTCTATGTCCAACTGAGGGATGATGATATCGGGGTCACCCTTAGCCCGACGAGCGTCAATCGCCTTCTTGAACACATCCCAACTCGTCACCATTTTGTTCCTGAATGTAGTAGGCGCATGCAGGTACTGAGGATAATATTCTTTCACGTACTTCACGAGGTCAGGTGCCACGTCGTCAAACCCGTTGACCAGTTTCCAGAAGGTTTGGTGGTAGTACAACCATCCTGGAGTGTCGCCCATCTCCATCCAAGGCAGGAACTCTCCTCTTCTGCACCAGGAACCCATCATTTGGATCGAGGATGCGTTTGATGTGGCCAACTCTGTAAGATTCGTGTAGTACTCGAACAGCTCATCCCCCTGGTAGACTGGTCCGGATGAAAATTTGGGATAATCTTTCGGGTCAAGGACATTTGGAAATTGGAGGAAGACGTCCTCGTTGAAGCTGAACTCGCTCGGGTGGGATGAGGATGGTTTTTCTGTCGCCGCCATAGTTCTGTGGCGTATCAATGGGGTCGTTAGCGACGTTGAACACCTCATTGGCTGTCTTTGTGAACGGATTCATCCAGACGCTTAATATCTCAGCAGTTTCCAGGTCGCGGTACACAAACACCTCTCTGGACATTGAATTGAATCCTTTCTCCGTTTTAACCTTTCTAGCGATGTTGAACCCTTCGAAATAGAAGATCCTCTGCATTGGATTTCCAGGGAAGCGGACGTATACTGTTCCATTTCCGTAGCCAATTGTTTCCGTGTTAGGGTCCAAGGAGGCCGATGCCCGAATGAGGCTTATCAGGTTCGTCTTCTCATCAAAGATGTCAAAGGTACAGGTTGTTGAAAGACATCCGGTGAAGATCCAGATGACTAGGAGGGACTGTTTAGTCACCATTGTGACTTGAGATACCTGCAAAACAAATCGTAGAAAAGTCAAGATATTCAGAAATAAATTTAACTTAATTTCATGATGTATACTTCATGTGTAGAAAATCGGACCTGAAGTGATTTGTCAATCCTACAACATACATTAACTTGTTGACTCCTTGACAGGTCAGTATGTAGCTCCCAGTCCCAGTAGTGACTTATTGAAAACAAAGTTATGGATGAACAAAATACGGCTACCGTAGCTTGCAGTCGATTTCCATATTTGTTTGTTTGTTGTTTAACGCCGTACTCCAGCTATATGGAGGCGGCCTGTGAGTAATCAAGTTTGGACCAGACAATCCGGTGATCAATATTATGAGCATCGATCTACGCAACTGTAATACGATTGCACGTGTCAACCAAATCAGCGAGCCTGACCACCCGATCCCGTTAGTCGCCTCTTTCGACATGGATGGGTTTCTGAAGACCAATTCTAACCCGGATCTTCACGAGTGAATAGAGCCAGGAAAAACATAATGCTGTGTACACGTTTTGAAGAATCGGACAATGTATGCATTTCGAGTCATACAAATACCTGATGAATATGTATTTTCCCTTTAAATATTTTGTAAAGTATTGTGATTTACGTCACAAATATTGAGTACGAGTTGTTTTTCCTTTTTTACATCAGTATATCTTTTATCCTGAATCATTCAAACTGCA